TGATCTAGATTGGGAATTGAATCAGCGACCCTTTGATTAGCAGGCTGGCACTCAATCCACTGAACCACATAAGCCAGGGCAAGACCACTTTAATCTTAAAGAGAAGGTTGCCAGTGTATAGAAAAGCCGCATTCAAAGATACAGAATATAAACTTTAACCAGTTGTTAGCAATGGGACAAGATTTTCTTTCAGCAGTCTGAAAAAAAGGAGGCTGCCTTTTGGAGGAAAACATTCTGGATTCATTTGGAGGACATCAGCATCATTAATGGAAATAACTGAAAGGAAAACAGGCAGCAGAGCTAGGACACCAGTGGGAGCAGTAAGTAATGAGACAGCAAATGAAAAGTGCATGTTACCTTCTGCAAGTGACTAAGTTTAAGTTTCATTATCACTGAAATACATCCTGTCATTGAAGGCCTGCTACAAACTCTTCTAGGTAATAAACATAAAGAACTGAACATGGAGTTGGAGCAGATGACAAGGCAAATGCAAAGATCTAAAGCAAAGATAAATGTATTTGAGGAATAGAAAAAAGGCCAGGGAATGTGCAAAGTAGTGAGGGAAGGGGATTGGAGTAGTAGATAAATGAGAAAAGTAGACACAGGCCAGATCATGTGGGACCTTGTGGGCAATATTAAGGACTTTGACATTTATTCTAAGTCGGATGGAATTGATTGAAGGATTTTAAGCAGGTGCATGGCATGATCTAATTTACATTTTTGCAAGATTGCCCTGACTTCTATGGAAAGAATGGATTGACGGTGGGGAGTGGCAATAGGGAAAACTGTTAGAAAGAATAGCAGAAGTCCAGCCAATAAATACTGGTGATTCGGAAAAGATGGTCGTAGCACAGATGGTCAGATACAGTACAGATACATATTTTTGTATGTAGAGACAACTGAACTTTCTGATGGGTTGTATGTGGGGTGTGAGAGAAAGAATATGATCAAGAATGCTTGTGAAGATTTTTATTTGATTTGAGCAAATCAAGTGACCCATGGAAGGGAAAAGACTAAAGGAGGTATACAAGGTTTGTCCAGAAGGTATCCAGCTATGTAATATGAAAAATAGAGACATTCATTGAAGAAGATACAAGATACAAGAAACATTGTACATAGGACAATGACACCTCGGTTCTCTTCAAAGTAGGCAATTTGGGACTTCACACAGTTCTCCCAGTCGGCATCAGCTGGCCTGTTGTAATCTCCTGAATTTCATCAGTGGTCTCTTCCCTTTTAAAGGTGATTTTAGTTGTGAGAAAAGCCAGAAGTCACAGGGTGCCAAATTTGGGCTGTAGGGAAAACAGAGTCACCTGGGTGATTTGATGTTTTGCCAATGAGTGGGTGCGTTGTCATGATGAAGCTGCCAATCACCAGTTGCCCATAGCTGTGGCCTTCTGAATCATCCAAATAGTTTCTGCAGCGGAATGCTCAAGTTTAATGCAAACTTTGATGCAGATTTGTTGCTCTACTCGCTCAGTCACTTTGAATGCGACAGCCAAACAGTACACACGCTCATTCACTGACATCTACTGTTCCCAGTGACTAGTACAGTGAAGTTACCATTGTGCATGCACATTCCAGTCCACTCTCCTTGGCTGCCAAAGTACATTGATGTCTCACAAATAGTTACCATCACGTTAACAATGGATGGACTCTTTCTGGACAGACGTTATAGGTTTTGAGGCATAGGGATTAGGAATTCTATTTTTATTGTGATAATTTAAGGTGCTTATCAGGTATCCATATTTTGAGATGACATTTAGACAACTGATACAAGACTAATGCAAAGTGAAGAGGTGAAGGCTCGAATATTAATACCATTTAGATAGTCAGGAGACTAAATTAGATTTCTTGTGAAGAGAGTGTATTTATACAAAAGAATGGAGAGTACCAACCAAAAAGGCTGCTAGAAGATAAGATCATTGTAAATGCCTTGCTGATACCTGCTGTTATCATTAGTTGAGGTTTACAGTGCAACTTTCCCCAAGAATTTGGAAATTGGAGAAATAGTCCTGTATCAGAATTAAACTGTAAAACCAACACGTAGTGGGACAAAGCAGATATGAAGTGCCACTTTAAAGATATAGAACAATTCTAAAATCTGTAAGACATCACTGTAATCTGTGTTATGGGATAAATTGTGTCCTCACAAAGTTCATATGTTGATGCTCTAACCTGCAGAATCTCATAAGGTTAACCATATTTGGAGATAAGTTCTTTATAGAGGTAAGTTAAAATGAAGTCTTCAGGATGAGCCCTAAATTAATATGACTGGTGTCCTTATAAGAAGAGGAAATTTGGACATAGGTTTCACATGCATAGAAGGAAGATCACGTATACACAGAGGAAGAAGACAGACATCTACAAGCCAAGGAGAGAGGCCTGAGAAGAAACCACTACTGCCAACACCTTGATCTTGGACTTCTAGTCTCCAGAATTGTGAGAAAATAAATTTTTGTTGTTTAAGCCACTCACTTTGTGGTACTTGTTATGGTAGCCCTAACAAACCAGTGCAATTTGATTAAATGTAGTAACACAGCAAGTAAAAAAATGTCAATCAGATAAAGGTTTAATCACTTAAGGAAGCATACAAAAAATAAAATATACAAATCTGAAACCAAAGAGGTCAGTTATAGTTGGAACTATATGGCAAGTTGGAACAAATGCCATATCAAAGAAGAGGTGGTTAAGTCCTAAATGTGAACACATCCATGAGTTTGTCATCAGAGAGGCTGACAGAATAAAACATTGAAGTAGGAAGAAGTAGAGCAAACAGAAGCTTGGGAAGACAAAGTGAATACATGACATAAAACATGCAAAAATAGAGCAAGTTGTGAGTGAAAACCTCAAGGTAAGAGAAAAACTTTCCACTAATCTTATAAATAGTAGGCTGAAATAACCAAGATTCATAGTTTTTACATACCTCAACATCATAAAGCCTTGAACAGAAAGGCTGGTTCAGACAGAAAGTGTCACTTTGTGTGTCAGACTACCCATGGCCTCCCAATATCCATTCTCACCTTTTAAATTATAATAGTTACCCCGATTTTTTTTATTTGGCACATTTCCATCCCACTAAAATATAACATATCCTAGGTCTCCCTCATTGTAAAGTAAGGGTTTCTCACTAATGAGAAATAAGAAGTGTATGAAACTTCCAAGAGGTCTCCATAAAGGCATAGAGTGAACATCTTTGCCTTTTCTTCACCACTTTCTTGGAACATGAAAATGAGGGCTGAAGTTTCAAAATCCATCTAAACCATTCTGGTCCATGAAGCAAAGGCCATACTCCAGGGCAGGGGAGAGAGGACAGAAAGCTGGAAGGAAGCTGGGCCCCAGTGACTGAGGAGCCTTGATATCAGGCTTAAACTATTGATTTCCAGAGTTCTTTAATATGAGAGAAATAAACTTCCGTCTTAGCCTATTGCATATGGGATTAAGTGTATAGCTACACTAGTGTTCCTCCATGACCTGTTTCTAGCCTATTTTTTCAGTGTCATCACCTACTACTCATTCTGCTTTTTCAGTCATTGACTTCATTGTGTTTGTTATTCCCAAAATACCCCACCACTATCCTGAATCCACAATTTTTCTCATTATTTTCTCCGAGTGGAAATCCCTATATTCTGTTTTCTTTCTTCCTACATATTAAAGTTTCCTCATTGTTAAAAAAATTTACTTAAATTAAGATATAAAGACAATTTACATGCCTAATCTGTCACTCCACTTATTACCAGCATTTCCTGAACTTATTTGGTAACTTTTCCTTTTACTGACCGGTGTTTCTCTTGAAGCTGTGTGCTCAGGTGAAAAGGGGAATCTTTCCAGGTACAGAGTAGTGATTTCCCCCATAAGTGGTCCATAAGAAACTTTTTTCCTCCAAATTTCTTCATTGATAACTTTCTTGATTTTCTTTTCTTATGTCTACTTGATCTTTTCTCTCTTGATATTCAAATGTCTCTCACTTATATCTTAGTTTTTTCACTTATCATACTCTGCTTTTATGATCATTTCATTCACTCATTCAGCAAACATATGCTGAGGAGTGTTGGAAGTAAGGATGGTGGGAATCTGAGTTAGAAGTTGAAAAGTAACTTTTAAAGTTTCATCTCATTTTACCCTTTCAACAACCTTTTAAAGATCTATTATTATGCCCTTTTCCAGGTGGGAGAAACACAGGAGGTAATTATGTTACCTGCTCAATGCTAGACAACAGGAGAGCATAAAATTGAAACTTGAGATCAAGCCTTCTGACTTCTGTTATCTCCTGAGTTCTTTTCCACTATTCCATATTAACTTCTCGCAGGATTAGCAAATAAAAGGCCTTCCTGAAGAATCTACCTCTTCCTTGTTTTGTTAAGTAAACACAGTAACTTCTGTTTTAATTACTTAATCTGAATTTGAATGCCTCAATTGGAACTGCACTTTTCAGTCTTTTAGAGCCCCTCCCCCCAGGATCCCCCCACCACCCCTGAGGTCTAACTCCAGGTTGCTTCCCACATTTAAACCACCTTCTTGGTTCTTACGGCTTGTGAGTTTTTGACACTTGAAGGTTCTGTCAAACCCTGTTTTGGAATTCTACTTCAAGAGTTAGGAAGGCTGGGCTGAAGTCATAGCTAAGTTCACCCATTAACTAGTCTTACCATAAGTATTTTTGTTTTTTAAAGATTGAATTTTCCCTTTTACTAAAAGGAAGAGACCTTTATTCCTCTTCCCTTTTATTTTTTTTAAACTTCAAAACTGGTGATACTTTATCTCTTTTTTAATTTAAATTTTTAAAAAATTTCTTTCCATTACCATTTATCCCACCCCTTTTCTTAAAGGAGTTTCTTGAGCAAACCCGTAATCATAAATTTTTCTACTGTCTCTTTTATAATGTATATAGGCACCTTGCTCCAAGCTGTAAGTACCTGCTTGTCACAGAGACAGTCGTTTTATTTTTTACTTTGGATAATGGCAAGTAACTAACACAAATAGCAACCCAAAGGGTGACTTACCAAAGGATGTATAGCAAACGATGTTAAGTCCTCTGACATGAAAACAAGCATGTCATAGATTGTATCTGCTTGGTTCCACAAAAGAGTGAGGTTTCTGTCTTTGTAATGGCTTTAGCAGATTGCCTGAGACGCCCAGCTCAGCCTGGTTTAATGTTTACTTAATAATAGGGCTCTCCCACCTCTCTTTTTTTTCTTTTCTACATTTGTGGAGCCTTTCCGAAGTGGCAGGATATTTTATTTTTAATTTTTCCTCGACACTATGAATTTACTTATTTCTCTCACTTTGACTACCCTTCAGCCCCCAACCCCCAACAGTAAGTAACTTGCTCCTTGCTCACCGCACACTTCGCTTTGAGGGCCGGGTGAGATCGCGTAACGCGTCCTCGGCCAGAACCACGATTCCCAGAATTCCTGGTGCTCTCAGCGCTCTCGGCTTCTTCTTCCGGTCCAGGAGCTGCTGAAACCGAAAGTGCTGTGTTTTGGGCGCTCCGCTGGGATTGATTCACCTTCACCTGCGCCAGCCCAAGTTGACCAGGTGGGAAACCAGACAGACAGTAAAACATGAACGGAAGAGTGGATTATTTGGTTACTGAGGAAGAGATCAATCTTACCAGAGGACCCTCAGGTATGCGCGGCACAGGCCATCTCCGGGATTGGGGCACTTGAGGTGTAATTGCAGAGCAGACACCTCTTCGGCTGAGCCAGATTCTTTTGGCCTCTGAGAGGCAGGCCTCTGTAACGGTTTCCTGTAACGCTTTTGAGCACGAAGAAGAGTATATTGGCATCCCTAGCCAGAGGACTCCAATCTCATTTTATTTATTTATTGTTTTAGTTGGATTACCACGTGTATTATAGTCAGGACGGGTTTCTTTCTGCTAATGGTATCGGAAAATGCCGAGGGAAAGCGTGCTTTTTAGCCAGCACGCCATGAACAACACGCCCTCCTTCCACTGCCTGGTCTATACGTGTTCCTGTGAGAGACTGTTCAGTAAAAACGGGAGCGTAAACGGTGTAGACTGTAATTGCACAGCCGTTTTCTTCGTGATAGTATCCTTGCGTCCCTCCTTCCTTTCATTTCTGGGAAATTCATTTAGTGTCAACTAGAATTTAAAAGCAGAAAGAGATCTGTTACAGCAAGTTCCCAAACCTTCCCAAAATTACATAGGGTTTTGCTTAAAAACAACAACAAAGAAGTTAATTCTTATGTTCCATCTCTAGGAATTTGGATTCAATGAAAGTGTTTTATTATTTGGGCTTTTTCCTCTCTTTTTCTCTGTCTCTTTTTTCTTTTTTTAACAGGCTCATGATGCTTCTAGGTTGCCACCAATTTTCTGTTTCTTGACATGAATAGTGGTTCCCTGATTCTGCTAATGTCACGCCCTTACTTGCCCCTGCAGTCCGCTTCACCCTCATGCTCCTCATTCACTAGGCTATTACCGTTACTACATGCTGCCCGCCTTCAATTTTGTGGCCTTTCTTTTACGCCTCCCTAGTGTACTGATTCAGAGTTTTAGCTTTGGGATTATGTAGGTCCAAATCCAGTATCTAACTTCCTACTAGTTCTTCGATATTTATCCCTTGATCAACTTTACTGATGAAAGCCTTAGTTTCTGGTCGCTAAAATGTACATGATGATAGAATATGCTTCATAGAGTTATGAGGACGAAGTGAGTTCAACTATGTAAAACATTTAGAACATTTCCTGACACATGGTAAGCACTATGTAAGTATTTACTATTTCTGTTATTGTTAATAGACGAAAGACTAGATTAACACAGTAAATTCCACTAAATACTGTTATTCCAAGAGTCTCCAGTAAGTCATCAAATACCATGAGCTCTTTCTCGGAAATGTTTCTGTGAGCTTTCCACTCCTTTCTGTTTCCATCACTACTACCTAAAACAGTCGATTGTCTTTTCTCACCTGGAATTTTGCAGTTGCCTGACCACCATTCATAAGATTGTTCTTCATAAAATATGGCTTTCAGAATCCTTCATATTTTTCCTTCTTTCTTGTTACAAAACATTGGAAGTTGATGTTACTGACTTTTGAAGCTAACATGGAAAATTATTATTAAATCAAAAAATTTTTTTCTGTTTTTCATATTGGTACTTGTTCTTCTGCTAGGGCCCATTAAAACAATGGTAGTTCCTTTTCTAATTGCCCTGCAAATATTTGAAGGCATCTAGTTGTCCTGCTCCTGTTTTGTTTCTTTCTTCTATAGCCTAAATATCCCTAGTTATTACATTTGCTCTTTTGTGATATGGTTTAGGTTTGATTCTTGTCTCTTAGGAATTTAACATACTTTTACATAATCCTTTGACTTTGACATCCAACAGTATTTCCAGGATCTCCTGACTAGAGCAGTGCAGAACTCTGATATTATCTTGCATGTTCTAGTCACTAAATATTTTTAAAGGTCAGTATAGAATCTTTTCACCTATTTTGGTGTTTGCCTAACAATGTTGCTAATGTTTAGCTCACCATTCACTAAAAGTTTGCGTCGATGGTGCAGACCTAAAGTTCCTAATGTTAGCATTTTCTTTGAATCATTGGGTTAGCACAAACTTCAAGGGACTAATTAAGAAGAATAATAATATCTAGCTAATACATTTCACCCAAAAGTGGTAATTTTTGTATTGTATGTGCATTTATTCAAAGTGAATGGATTTATTCACTGGGTGACTTCTTTAATTTTCCTAAGTATGTTCATGTCTTACACATATAAGTTGATAGCTTAGGAGAGTAGCCCACACATTTTGAATTGAACTAAGGTTAAAACAGTCATTTGAGGTTTGGGTGGTTCAATTAACAAGAAAGGTTATCAAGTTTCTGTTCATCACCTCCCAGAGCTAGTTACATGGTACGTGGTACTCCTAAGAAGTGTTACAGTCTAATTTAGCTTTTCTTCACTGTATCATCATGAAGATACACAGGGAAGAAGTCAGATATCACCACTAGAAACTTCCAGTGATTTTGGCAGTCCCAAATAGATCTTCCTTTCTATAGAAGAACTATGAAAAGCCTCTAGTTCTCAGTATGTATTTCTGTTTGTAGGCTGTATTGCCACTCTTTGTACAACTTCCTATGCAGGGACTTAATAGTTCAATCAGGTAACTGCAAGAATGTATATACCTTTGCTTTTTTGTGCCAGTGTTCTGTTAGGGGCAAGAGTCTTGGATAGTTCCAGTGTTTGTGCTGATTTTGCAAGGCAGATGAAGTATTCTGTCTGATTTTGCTTACTGCAAAGGAAATAATGAAATCTTGGGAAAATTTAAAAAATGAAATGAGTGGGAGGCAAAAAGAAGTTGGCATGCATTTTGGCTTCTCTCCGGTACCAACTTCCTCAGCTGTGTAAGGAGAGGCTTTAGGCCAGATGATTTTGGAGTTTTCTTCCACTTCCAAGAGTTCAGGATTCCTTGGCCCATTTCATGTTGTTATTTTATGATTCCTGCCATTTTGGACTAACAGTGGGTGCTGGAAGAATTGTCAGAGACAGTGGTCACAATCTCATATGCCTTCAAAAGTGTGAAGAGTTCACCTATTATGCTTTATGGAACACTATCTCTTCTTTCTGTGGGAGTCCAGCTTGAGTATAGTCTCTAGGCCTTCTACTTTTTCCTTTATCAAAAATTGAAAGTTCTTAATGTTGGAGAGACTCAGTTACTCTAAGAAGTATGACAAGAATCTCATCTAGGTTTTTTTTCCCCCTCTCTGTAACAGGTATAGATTAGCCATGAAGACGACCCTACTGTATATTAGGTATTAGGGTTAGGACTCCCTGTTCAGGACTGTGGCCTCAATGGGTTTCAACAAGGTGTTCCTGAAATCTTTAAAGAGGGAAGAAAATCACTCTTTTTCTATATTCTTCAAAGGAGTTTCAGAGGATAAAATGGGTTGGTATAATGTTTTAATAATGAATAATTAAGCAAGGATTATATTTCTGGCACTGTGCTAGTTACTTTATCTATGTATTAACTCACTTAATTTTCACAGCAACTGAGTGGTAAGTGATTAATCCACATTATTAGATGAGGAGATTGTTTCTCAGAGAGATTAAGGATTTGCCCAAGTTCTACAGCCAGAGAGAGTCAAGAGCTAGGAATTTATCCTAGATCTGTTGATGCTGCTGTTTCATATGCTACCTCCCAGTATAGTAACCATGTCTAAGGAGTTGCCTGCCAGCCTTTCTCCTAACCTTTATTTTGTTATATCATGCCGTATTCCCAGAAGGATTTAAGGCATCTTAAATGACTTACACAATCCACAGTGGAAAGTTTTTATAGTTTGCTGTTGATAGAGCTGAGGGCATGTCAAGACAAGAGCCTAAAAACAAGAAATCTCATTAAGTCCAAGCATTTAAACTGCTCCAGATCTGTAGTGTGCTTTGTATTTAACCCTGAGACTGTTGCTAACAGTTTTCTGATCTATTCCTTCATGTACCAAATAGATCTGAGACTAAAATGCTATATCCTTTCCCTATTTTCTCCTGATTACATGAGACCTAGCCCTCATGGAAATTATATTTCAATAGAGACATGGAATTCTCATATTAAATTAAATCTCAGTGCAAAGGTGTATGTAATGGGTGGGCAAAGGAAGTATATAGGGGAGCGTGTTCATCTGACCCTGTGATGGAAAAGTTCAAAGAGTGGAGCTGTTGATAAGGCCCAGACTGATCAGGTACAAGAAGACAGAACTTATGTTGATTTTATTAAACAGGCTTTAGGCCAGAGTGAAGAACAGGGATGGGTATGGCTTAAGCAGTAATAGAGAAAATAAAGTAAATTTAAGCATATTCTGAACTTAGTGAGTAAACGAGCCTAAAAGAAGGAGATGTGAAGGAGACACAAGGTTGGTGAGATAGGTAGAGACTGGATTATGAAAAGTTCTCAGTGTTACCTATCTTTAAGGTTCCATCTTGATTCCTTCCCTGCCCTAGTCAGTGGTTAAGACTGAATTCAAGATTCACTGCCTCCAGGAGGCCTTCTAGACCCAAGCTATATATCCTCTTATTATGAGTAGCATATACCGCTTTTTGAGTGCTTATCATGTATTGCCACACTAAGCACTTTGTTTCATCTTCTCCCAACAAGGAACAGAAGTGGTTATTATTCCATTTTGTAAATGAGAATACCTTGACTCTCACGTCACACAACTTATTTTTTTATTTTTAAGTTATATTTTATTGTTTATGCTATTATAGTTGCCCCAATTATTCCCCCTTTGCCCGCTCCAGACCATCCCACTCCCTTGGCAATTCCCACATCATTGCCAGCCAGACGACCCCACTTTGCCACCCAGACCACCCCACTCCCTTGTCAGTCCCCACACTGTTGTCCAAGTCCATTGGTCATGCATATATATTCTTTGGCTGCTGTATTCCCTGTGCTGTCCTTTATATCTGCATGACTAATATGTAGCAAACAATTTGTACTTCTTAATCCCTTCACCTTTATCATCCATCCTCCTGACTCCCCATCCCATCTGGCAACCATCAAAACATTCTCTCTATCTATGATTCTGTTTCTCTTCAGCTTGTTCATTTATTTTGTTTTTTAGATTCAATTATTGGTAGACATGTACTTATTTCCATTTTATTATTCATCCTTTTGGTCTTCTTGT